CTGTAGAAATCAATGCATCATCACTTTTTTTTTTTAGATCATTATAAAATTTTTCTTTTTTTTTAATAAATATCAAATTGGAATTATTAATTTCTCGTAATATCAGGGCATATGAATAGTTTTACAGTCAAATTGACAAAGGTTTGAAGTTTGATGTCCACCATGCATTAAGGAAAGTAGATGGGCAATAGTAATAAGATAATGCAATGTTACCAAATAATCTGAATTCAGATTTATAGGTGATAAATATTCAGGATGCAGTCATTACAAATTTATCATTAGTGCCGACGTCTGAACCTAAACATGTGGGTCATAATCAGGGTTCGAGCACTGAAGGTATTCAAGTACTCAATGGAGTACTTCAGTGCTCAAACCACGCCCTGATGATGACTCACATGTACAGGTTCAAACGTCGGCACTAATAAAAACTTTATAATGACTGGGTCCTGAATATTTATCACCCATGATATGTAGAACAGTCGACTAACTTCCTTCAATGAATTTAGATTTACTATATAATTTTTTCAGTGCCTTATTCTTAAGAATCTATCTCTTATTCAGGGTAGCCCATCCCCCCATAGTCGATGGCGCATTAACTTATAACGGTTAACCATTTTCAGGCCACGATGTCCAAATGGATACCACTATTTTGAATTTTTTTTTTTTAATTTCTTTTATATTATAAAGTAGTTAATACTTCCATCTGGTCTAGTAGAGTCTCCATAGATAGATTTATTTTTCACAACTTCTCTGTAATATAAGAGAAATTAAAAAAAAAATCAAAGTTGTGGTGGTATACATTTGGACACCCTGGCCTGAAAAGGATTAAACCCCTCCCCTCTCCCATTGCCAAGATATTCCATTGCTCTCATCTTCTTAAAACAGTGCATGATAAATAGAATTTAAAAAATCGTAGGTCATATACAATCACAGTACCCAACTTTGAAACTTTCCATTCCGAAAATTCACAACCCCATCAAAATGTGCTCACTCAAAAATTTTGATCGCGCACCTTGTACCATTAAAAATCCCTTTCTGGACACCTCTGCTCTTATTATGGATCAAAAATCCTATGTCTTGGAGAGCTTAATTTTCTCTCAAAACATTGATTAATTGTCTTAAAATCAAATTTTTAATTTGCAGGCTCAATCAAGTAAATGTTTACTTTGTAGACTAGTCATTAAAAACACTGTTTCCTTCTCTCAATGCCTCAGTTAATTCTTTTTACAAAATTAAGAGTTTTACACCTGTAATTATTAAAGCTGCTTTTAACTGGGCGAGAACAGACCATTAAATTTCACATTATTATTATTATAATATGGCTCTACGACGCACACACTGAGTCACGGCCTGCTCCAGCATTTACCGCCCGTCATTTCTCTTTTGTGCTGCTGTCTTCCAGCTGCGAATGCCAAGTATTGACAATGCATCGGCAAGAACACAGTCTTCCCATCAGAGCCTTGTGCATCCAACCTTCCATGCTCCAAATAGCTTCTCCGATAGGACCTAAGATGGAATTTCCTCTGGGTTCATCCTAGCGACGTGGCCTGCCCATCAAAATCGCGAGAATTTAATAACATTGGCCACGTCTGACTGCAATCAGCCACTGGCTCTCCAGGTTGGGGGAAACCCAAAGCCGGGGAGTACAGCCCGGCCACCCTTCCTCCTGAGGGGACATAAATATTCAGGAGGCCAGTTGTCCCGAGGATACTCTCCAATAACTCGTAGTAAAGCTCAACTGATTCATAGTATATCAAATAACCTCGGATTCGGACAGTCTGAACAGTTACGACGTGGCGCTCGAAAGGATATTAGACTTGGAACATGGAATATCAAGACTTGGCAAAGAGGTTGAATTGGTGGATGAGATGGAGACGTTCAGGGTAGACCTCCTAGGAATTTGCGAATTTAGGAAAAAAGGGCACGGTGAAGTACGCCTAAACAAGGAGCATGTGCTTATCACCCATATCTTAAAGAATTATAACAGTGTATATGGATCTGTCAATAGGAAAAATTGCACTAATACAAGTTTATTCCCTGACAGAGGATGCAAATGTTATCGACAAAGAACAGTTCTATGCTGATCTAGAGAGAGAGGTCCATCAGATGTCAGAACTGTAACAGATTACCCTAATGGGTGATTTCAACGCAAGGACCGGAAGAGACCATTCAAATGCCCATGATGTTATGGGCCTGCATGGAGGAGAATGCACTAAAAATGGAAATGGTCAAAGGCTCACTGATTGCTGTAACGATTATTACCTCTTTCTCTCTTAAAGAAACTCTTTCTTCCCACATAAGATGGTACACACAATAACCTTTTCAGCTGAAGAAAGAAGTGTTAATAGCCTTATAGATTACATTGAGTACAGTAGAAGTTTAAGGAGATACTTAACCGATGTAAAAGTAATAAGAGGTGCTGAAATTGGTTCGGACCATCTTCTGTTGATTGCTGACACCCAGATCTTACAACCTAGAAAGAAAAGTCCTATGCCAATTGTTCTATGACGGCTCGGAAGAGTGAGTGGAGGACAGGCAAGAAACACTAACAGAAGTATATGATGACGTGATCTGGGAGAAGGGTGTCATTTGGGCTATAGAGAAAATAAAGATTGGCAAAGTAGCAGACAAAGATGGTATTGCTCCAGAACTTATAAAATTTGGAGGTCCACAATTACAGAAAGCATTACAGGGCCTATTTCAGAATATATTTTCTTCTGTAGTGGTATAATAAGAATATATTTGTTTTCTATTGCCAAGGCTAATTTTTTTTACTTTCACTTACCTATATATGTGATATATATTAAGGGAAAGTACTGCGATCATAAAAATTTTTGAATCTGAGTAATTAACAGAAATACATGGTTTGGAATTCCCTGAGTCCAAATAGCCAAGTCCCATAAAACGGACTGTGTGTGTATGTGAACAGTCTAGCTCAAAAACGAAAAATTGTATGAAACTGATATCATATTTTTAAGATAGGTTATGGCTGGGATGTTACAGCAACCTTTTCCTGGAAATCGGCTAACCGGAAGTGGCACTTTATATTATAAATTTTCCTTATGAATCTAAGTCGAACCAAACCAAACCTGAGCTGAGCTAACCCTCGCTATGCAGCTCAACTTTGCTCAGCTTTATTGAAGCTTCAAATTGAATCACTATTGGGAATTCAATCACTACATCAATTAAGCGTTTGACATCTAATGAAATAGTAATTAAATTCTTTGATACTCAAAAAAGGTCAGTATTTGAGTAAAATACTCGGTACTCAGTACTCGGAGAAGCATTTGCCCATCTCTGTTCATAAATGGCGTAGTTATAGTGATATAATAATGTTTTGAGTACATTATTTTGATAGTATTAACGAACTTATATTAATTTTCAATTTTTTAAAAATTTAATTTAATTTTTAAACAATTTTTTTTTCATTTTTACTTCCTGTATTATTATTTTTAAAAAAATTGACAAACAAATTATTGACAAACCAGATCATTGATATAAGATTTTTGCTAAATAGTCGGATAATTATTCATTATATGACATTCAGATCATGTAGATATTTTAGTTTATAAAACAGACAATAATATAATTCATTTCCGGAAAGAACATAAAATTTAACTAATCTCCGAAAATCGATAAATATACAAAAAAATTGATATATTGCTGAATTAAGTTTAATTATTATAAATACATAATTTTTACAATATAAATAAATACAATGAGTCCATCTTAAATGTCCTAGAAAAATATAGCAAGGAAAAACGGAGAAAAAAAAATTTGGTGAATTTTTACTCCTAAAATAGCAATTTTTGAATTTGAGCCTGCCAATAGATTTTCGTGGCCTAACATAGACAGACAACTATATTTCCTACTCTTAAACTGAATATTTTCATGTATTAAAATTACAAGCTCCATAAAAAAAGGTGAATTTTGATGCTTAGAATTGCAATTTTTTTAATTAGTCTGCCAGTAGATTGCTGTGGCCTATAAAAGTAGACAGTGTTATTTCTTCCTTTAATCACACATACACACACACATTCATTGTATTTATAATTTCAAGACTTCTAAGATAGGGATATTTATTACTCCTAAGTTAATTTTTTATAAATTAAGGCTGACAACAGATAGCAGATACACAGAAACGGAAGACTGCTCTAAAATGACACCTTTAATAGAAAAATTCATCAATCAATGTTTCATCTAGCCTTTGATGAAAATTTGGACCTCTGCATGACAGCCGTTTTTGAAAGCAGCGGCTTTGGAATGGCAGACAAGGTTTATTTTTATTTATGGCAGACAAGGCCTCTGCAAATTGTTCTAATTTGATCAAGGAAAAATTATTGGAACTGTAATAAGTAAACGTTTTGCCTCATCTTGCTTATAGTACAGATATTGTACCATCAGATTATGTTTTGTTAAGTTCAATGGCTCATTTTTTAAAAGGTTGAATCTTTGATAATTAAAAAGATATAAATATTGGATATGGAAACTCCTTTGACTCAAAACCAAAGGAGTGGTACCAGCATCAAATTCAAGTACTGGCAGAAAGATGGGTGAAAGTAGTTGAAAACAATGGACTTTACTTTGAAGAGTAATATTCAATAATGTTTGAAATATGTAATACGAAAGAAAGCTATAGCTATGCACAAGGCCTTTTAAAACAACCTAGTATATATGTTTTACCTTGATATAAAATGTAACAAATATCTAGTAATTGTCATAACAATAACAATATATTATATTTTTGAACCAAAATAATTCTTCCTCAACAAGAAAACTAACTTTTCTCAGGACAAAAATAAATATAGTTACAGAAGTTGGTTAGGGAAGGGGTGCAGCGAGTGAAGAAAAAAATCAGCTTTCTCATTAGTACATTTTTTTTTCATCACTGACCGCAACCTCCCAGCATCTTCTATAATTAATTTTACAGTCAACAATACCTCCACCATTAAAGAAAAAATATAAAAACACTATCAGTGTTAAATATTTTATATACTCACAAATTATGATTACTCCCCCGATTATTTTGACTGCTCTTGTTTTCATTAAGCTTTGTATTTTCAGCCCCATTTTCATTAGTGTCAATAACACAAGAATTTGTGACATGCATGCCCATTTTCTTCTGCAAACTAACCTTACTGTTGATAGATGAAAAGTCCTAAGGGAGAAATTAATAAATGAATTAAATATAAATAAAAAAGTAACAGGCAAAAAGCCTTTACTCATTACAAAAATAGAATTAATACAATAAATAAAGCTTTTTTTATAAAGAGTATACAACACTTTGTAAAGGAAATTAATTTAAAAGTTCAATAAAAGAAACAAATTTTTAATAAACCACTGTTAAATAAAGTAAATGAAAAGATCAGTAAACTTGCGCAATGCCAACACTTGCTCAATAGGTTAAAGTTGACTATCCCTTTAGTAGGATTTGTCGTCATGACACGTTACAGGATCCTTTCATTAGCTAGGATGCTATCACCTCAATTACGTTAACCAGGTGCAAGTAATTCTTATAAAGTAATTTGAATGTTCTGGTCAATTCATCATTCTGCATGTTACTCAATTTTCAGAAATCTTAAATATTTATTCTTCCCTATATGTAAGGGGCAGCATTTAGTATCCATAAATGCTAATAGGAAAGATGATAGATTTGTAAATTTTGATACTTTTTGTCTAAGCGGCCGCTACTGACTGCTATCTGCCAATGTTTATAACCTGAACACTGATAGCTCCCATAACGTAGTGATAAGCCTTCTCCTACTTCACATCTTCGTATTATTGTATTAAATTCGTATTATTGAAAGTGTAAAAGATACAAAAACAAATGTAATAACAACAAAAATACTTTTATTTGACGACAAATATATTAATGAAATAATAAAAAAACAAATTTAAAAGAACATACTTAGAAAAGAAAAAATATCAACACTATAAACAACGTATATACAAATTATTTTAAGTTAATTATTCACTTCCTTTTGTCTTATTTATTTTGGAAGGCAAACTTGTTTTATGCTACTTAAAATAGCGAGGAACGGGTCCTCTTCTCTGTGAACCCGCTGCCACAAAAATTTGCACAAATATGAATCGAGGTGTTGTCTGGCAGTTCCTCTATGTACTTTATTTTCCCACTTAGCTGAGCCCCACAATCGTTCTATGTGTTGAGTATGAACCCTAGTTGATGGATCGACAAAATTATACCGGTGATTCACTTGGAAATGGTCATAGTTTGCTTCGTTCAGTTGTCGGGTGTTGTATCCTTTCCAACAGTCCGAATAAATGGTCGTTCCCTCTTCTATATTTTCTTTAATGGGTTGTAATAATGTTGTTGTCTTTCTGTCAATTATTTTGACGATAAAACATTCATCTGTTTCTCGGCAAACTCCACCAAACATCCACCAATGATAACCCAGCAAGTACCCCAACATTTTGAAAATACTGAATTGCCTGTTCTTCTGAAGACGGTAAATCCCATATTCTAAGAAGATCCATAATATGACGAAAATAAACGAAAAAAAAAATGAAAAATAAAAAATAAGGGGTCAAAAACTAAAAAAAAAAGTAAAATAAACACAAACGGGCCAAAAACTAAAAATAAACACAAACGGGCCAAAAGTAAACAATTTAATAAGTGAACGTAATAAGGGAATAACTGAAAATTAAACAATGCAATAACTCAAAAGTTTGGCGGGTTAAGAAGAGGGAGGTTATGTGACATGATGACATGACGTTAGATAAGATAGATAAGAAGTGAGGTTTCAAAAGGGCCGCTTAGACAAAAAGTACCTAAATTTTAACTAAAGCATTTAGAAAAAAGGAGAGAGATAAGTAATTTTCCAATTGCTAAATAAAATTTTCATATTCATAATTAAAAATATATAATAAAAATACTGTTAGAAATGGACTTGTGTTGTATGTTTCTTTTATTTTTGATATCTGTATGAATAGTAAGGATTTTCTGATAAAAATATTTTTATTCTAGTTACCGTTTCGATCCAAGTTTGTGAGTCATCAGGGCTAGAAATTACGCCAGAAATATAAGATATAGGCAAAGTACATAAATAAGCCAGGCAAGTATAATATAGTATAAGAAAGGCAAGCAAATAAATAACTGTTATAGGATGTAGGCACAGTACATAAATAAGCCAGACAAGTATAGTATAGTTTAAGAAAGGCAGGATATACCTGTTCTCTGTCCACACATTACTGAAGTGTTCCTAGTTAATGTCTTGTAGAACCAAATAAAAACTGTTTTTATGATTTTCATATTCTTAATTAAAAATATAAAACTAAATTTCAGTCAGAGAAATTTTGTTTTATTCTAGGTGACAACATTTCGACATAAGCATGTGGGTTAACACCGTGTCATCTATACCCCTCAAAAACTCGTCCATCAGGTATTGAAAAGTTATAGGAGGATTTTTCAGTCCAAACGGCATTCTGGTAAATTCGTAATGACCCCTTTCGAAAGTAAATGCCGTTTTATACTGATCCTTTGGGTGCATCCGTAACTGGTGATATCCCGCCTTGAGATCTAACGTGCTGAATATCACTGCACCACTCAACCTCTCAAGTATGTCCTCGAATCTGGGAATCGGATACTTCTTGTCTAATATATTGTCGTTTAGTTTACAATAGTCTACTACTACCCTGCATTTTTCCTTATTATCCCCTGGAGCTCACTTCTTTTTCACTGCCTACAGGGGACTATTGAACGGTGAGGTGCTATCAACTATGATCCCTAGCTCCTTCAAACTGTCTAACTCCTCCCGAAAAGGCTGCCTCAACGCCTGCGGGTATCTCCTTTCCTTCATGTAGGTTACCCTATCCTGCTTCAATGGGATCTCATGGACCGTTCTCCCCGTTACTCCCAATACCTCGCCCTCTTTGAAGAAAATATCTTCAAATTCCGCTCGTATCAATTTTCTCCAGTCCTTTACCCTGCTCACCGCTCCTATCCGCACCCTTCTTTCCCTTGCGACCCCTTTACATCTAAACTTCCTTTTTCCCAGCATAATGCTCCAGACTCCTCTGCTGTTTTTAATGCTCGCCCCTACCTGCCCCAAAAGGTCACAACCTACTATGGCTTGGTACTCTCACGTTATGTTACCTACTAAGTGCACCTTTAGCTTACCCTCTTTTTCCGCCCACCGATCAAGCTTGATTGTCGGTTCTCCCTCCACACTACAGGGACCACCGAGAGTGATTAGCTGGCAGTCACATTTTTGTATCCGGAATGACCTCTCACTACCGCACAATTTCTCTAGTGCCCCTCGTGTCATAAAAGTAGTCGAGCTTCCCATGTCCACAAGACATTTCACTACCCCTTCTACTTTAATGATTGGCAACCAGCATGGCTTACCTCTAATGTTGTTTCATGTTGCTGTGCAGTCGCCTCTCTGTGGAAACACTCCTCAGATGCCGCCCCGCTTCCTGCTTACTGCTGTCACTCGTCGCTGTTCACTTCGTTGGCTGCTCCTCCCTCCTTCGCCTCCACTGCTGTCTGGTTCTTCCGTCTTGTTTCTGAAGTTTCCGATACGTCAGTTGCCTCCTCCGAAGATCCGTTTCTCTGCTGCATACTAGCTCGTCTCCTCATCTTTTGCATATTCACCTCCATCGGCTCTTCCTGAGGTCTCTCTCTCTCCTACGGAACATATATGGGGATTATCTAGCAATATGCCCTTTGGACCCGCACTCGAAACATCTAGTGCGAGAACATTGTGCCACCAAGTGTCCTAGCTTTCCACACCCATGACATTTTCTATCCTCTCTCCAGGGTCCATTCCTAGGTCTGGGTTGTATCGATCTTCTTTCGCCTGTCGTGGCACTTTCTCCATTCGACTGTCTTGGTTCCCTCTTTCTCCAACCTATCGGAGTGGTCCTGGGTCGTCTTATCACTTATTCGGATCCACCCTGGTTCTTCCACATCCATCCTAGTCTCCTCCTCTCTTGCACTTAAATTAATCATTTTCTGAGCACATTCGAGGAACGATCGCTCTCTGTCCATCCCTCTTCCCAGTCTCTTTTGCTAATTGGACCTTAAGTATAGTCAAAAGGAACACTATCCTGGCTTTGACCTATCCCGCACTCATTGTCTCGCGCATTTTCTCAGTTATGAGCCACCTTCAGTGCTACCGCGTCCCCTAGATTCACAAGGTCCTCCGCCACCTTCACCTCAATTCTAGACATGAGGCGGTCTCCACCTTTTAGGAAATGGTTAAGTTCTCCTACCTCGCCACCGAAGCGTTCCAGGTCCGCGATCGCCCTCCTTAAGTCCTGTGTGGTCGCTGCTCTTATTTTCATCCATTCCAGTGCGTTAGCATGCGCTTCTGCCAATGTGTCCCTAGGTAGGGGAGAGATATCTTGAATCTGAGGAATTTCCTGAGTTTGAGGAATTTTTGGTGTGCTCAACACTCCTGGTCTGATCATAACGTCTGTTGCCATCTCAGTTTTTCCTTACAACTTAAAAGAAAGGAAAAACGGAAAAAATTAAAATAAAAAAAAAAATAATTCACCAATTATGGTCTCCTGACATCCCGGGTTTCGGCATCAGTTAAGCGTCGGTGAACTTCAACAATAAAAAAAAAGGAAAAGGTTTGAGATAAAACACTCACGGCTTCAGAATCAATACTCCTTTATTCGTAAAATAATCCTTCTTATATACATTCGGCATGTTGTTTACATTCCAAGATGGTATTAAGGCTGATATCGTCAGTCTCCAGTCTTTATCTTCCTATTCCCGGAATGGGGAAATAGGAAAAATCAAAAATAAATTTTTATTGATTATAGACTGTTGTTTTAGGAGGCGGAAAATATTTGAATATGTGTTGCAGGTCTTTTCTTTATCTACTTTGTGGTTTACCGGATTATTTTTTTCCAAATTAATGAATATAGCTTCAGAAAGTAGTAGTTTTTGGTGATTAGGAACTGTGGCCAAGTATGGTTGGGTTTTCAAAATCAAATTTGTGGTTAAGGGTTAGCAGTTTGGGGGAGACTGGTGAACTGCTCTCAATCTCCCACCACGATTCGCCACTGCAGATCCATTCCATACATCCTAGTCCTATCTCAAAAAATCAAAAAAGCTTTAACTTCCAAATTCTCCCATCTACAAATAGTTTTCTAAAATAACAGTAAATTAAGAAATGTATGCACCAA